TATATATATATATATTTATTTACGAGATAAATTACGTTGTATCATATCAAACGCAACTGAGGTCTCTTTATATAATATCAATCTATAAATATATCTCATTGTGAAGAAAACTCAATAAATTTATCATGTATCGTTCGTATGACATATATTAATAATATATACCAATGACAGTAATTTATAATTCTTCTTTTAGAGATATCTTCTTGTTACATACAACTCTAATTTGTCAGAATTAAAATTGTATAAAAGAAATGAATTTCTTCCTGTAAACAGGTTAACGTTTTTAATTAATGTTATACAGTACTGAATTCTTCTCATCCTTTTAATTCTTTTCTTTCTGCCATTTGTTACATGTACTACACGCTTTGATACAGGATAAATTTATGAAATTTATGTGAGGGAAATAGCATACGAATGTGGATCGTAACGCGAGACTCTCTCTAACACCTGTTTTTACGTAATATACAATATGCAACTCACATTTACAATGTAGTCCTCATTAGTTTAGTTAGACCTAACGAGAGTGGACATTAAGGCACTGAAACAAAAAAAAATACTCATCAACCTCGTGAAACATATAATGGAGGATCCTGTTTGCTCTCTGAACTGCTGTTTCTTATGATGTTGCATTTAAAAGATGTAAATATACTTTATGACGTAACAGATTGTATCGAGATTGCATGCAGCTTGCGCGATTTAGCAAATTGTACAATAACGACCACGACCAAGACGATTAATTATAAACGAATTGTCTATTCGATGTACACATATTCTGCGCTGTGGTAGCTCCTATTTGTACGCTTCTGGCGTGTGTAGAAAGTTTAATGTATTTCATAAATATAAAAACGACTTATCGGCGCGGGGCTATCACAGTTTGGTACATACATATACATAAATACGCGAAGTTAAAATTTTTTTTTCTGTCAGTATTCCTTTTTGTAATACATGAACTGTAAAGAATGTAGGACGTAACAGCAACTCATCAGGTCACAGGCAATTTAAGCATGGAGTAATTCTATAGTTTATAAGTATATTAAGCTAAGTGCAATGTGTTCCACGTGTATTTAAGTGAGAATAATGAATCGCTTCGGTGCGCGCCTTAAAGTAAATGAGAAACATCGCAAAAATCCAAAGCTTTCGACGAGAAAATTTTTCAATGTAATATAACTCCTACCGCGGCGATTTTTCGCGTAAAATCCGGGAGTATTCACTTTCGATCCGGGAATCTAATTTTTTTCTTTTACCGATTTCCTAGGCGACGAGTATAGATTGCCAAGAAAGAAATCCTACAGGATCGGTTTTTATCTACGAGCAGGAAGATAATAAACGAATGAATATTAATTTTACGGATCCCCGAGAACTCGATTGTTTAAAAGCGGAAAATATATCGTAATAATATATTCTGTCTTCGATTTTTTTAATGTGTTGTCTTTTTCCTAACTACGAAGAGAGAGCTTCAGAAGAAGTGTTTGTATGATGTCTGACCTGCACTAAAAGTTCATGTATTTTTCCAAGTATTGTACATTACACTATAAATATTAATTATATAAAAATTATAAATAATAACTGGAGTATACATAAAAATGATAATAAGAATAATAATAAAATAGGTTTATTATTTTATTATTTTAGCATATTGTATTATTATTACGATAACATTTTATGAACTATAAATAATACGTTATACTTACTCTTATTTTTACTTTTATTCTCATCATAATTTTATTATTATTAATAAATAACTTCAAATAACAGCATCAATAAGTTTTAACTCTTTGAGCGATCATTTAATGTCTTCCACATTCCTACGAAATATAACAATTCTTTAAAAAAATTTAAAGTGATTTAACAATACAACTGAGTATAAAATTTTCATTTTTTTTTTTAGACGATTTTCTGATGTCGAAACAACGAAAAATATTTAAAACGTCGGAATAATATTTTGTAACCTGTTATTCTTATCATAAAAATTAATGTCACGAATTGTTTGATGTAGACACGAAATTGAATAGCAAATTTCTCGTTTTCATTACATCATTTGCAAATGACTTGACAGTAAACTGGATAAGTTAAGAAATTAAACATGGTTACCTACGATTGCAATTGCAAGGATGTTATAATCACGGAAGGAATATTTGGAGAAATTTATGCCGGTGCTTTGTTATTTGAGACAGCCCGACTTCTGTACTGGTGATAGAGTGATGTAAAAGCCGTTTTAATTACAGAATCTGCGGAAGATAAAATACGCAGCTATGACAGCAAAGATTATGAGAATGCTGAAAATAAAGGATTCCGGTTGATGCCAGTAAAATCGTACACGATGATTAATAAGAATAGCTTAGAGATCACCGTCATTTCCTGGGGTGCGACAATCGTTTCTTTAAAGTATCCCGATAAGTTTGGATATGTCACGGATGTTGTGCTTGGTTTCGATGATTTGAAGAGTACGAACTCTTGACGTAATTACATATTTGTCCATCATGTTCATTTAATCTTGTCGCTCTCAATTAACTCTTTATAAATTAATGGGAACAATTCGTGTTTTTTTCAGGCTATACAAATCCCAAGATTAATCCGTTTATAGGATGCATCCTGGGCAGATGCGCGAATCGCATAAGAGACAGCAGTATTATCATTAAAGACAAAACTTATGAGCTAACGAAAAATGATTTCGGCAAGCATCATCTGCATGGAGGTGTAAGTCTGTATTATCAGTCCATTCAAGAATTAATGAATTTATATTAAATATCTTATACCAGACATTTTTCTTTATTTCAGACAAAAGGCTTTGGTCGGCAGTTGTGGGAATCGTATATTGATGGATGCTCAGTCGTCATGACTTATCTAAGTAAAGACGGTGAAGAGGGATATCCCGGTGCGGTATTGAGTACAGTGAGATTCAGATTGATGCCTGATAATATACTGGAAATAGGTATCCGAGCGACAACGACGAACTCCACTATAGTGAACATCTCACACGGTTCTTTATTCAATCTCGCTGGACATGTAATTATCTATACATCTTGTGCAATGTTAGTACAGTTGAAGCTGGAACCACTCTGAAAATGCAAAGAACAATGATTTAATAAATACTATATTTTCTTCTTTTTATTTCTATTTAAAAAAGGCATGATTCTAGTTTCAATAAGAAATTGTGTGACAGGTTTATTTAATTAGATGTAATTATAGGACGCTGGTAAAAAGGAATTGATGAAGCACAAGATCTCATTGAACTGCGACCGCTGGACCTTCGCAGATTATACGGATCCAATACCAACCGGCAGCATCCGAGGGGTCGGAGGAACCATCATGGATTTGCGTGTACCGAAATTTCTGGAAAGCTGTATCGAGAAGGCATCAAATTGAAGTTCATACAAATTACAGTAGATGAACCATTATCTAATAATTGTGTAAAAAGATATTGTGAATTTGCGTAAGCTACAGGTTCCTCCGGGAGAAGGGTATGATCATAATTTCTGCGTCACACCAAATTGGCACGGGGGTAACGCGTATGTCGCTCAAGCGGTCCATCCGAAAAGTGGTCGGTAAGGCTCGCAATTATATTAGATTCATAACACAGGTTCATTGTAGCAATATTCTGGAATTATAAATAAACATATACAGCGTTCTGGAGATTTATTCGAATCAGCCTGGCGTACAGTTCTACACAGGTGGTCGTCTATGTAGTACTTCTGAGGTACTGTAAATGCGTTGATAATCGAGATACATAATAATCTATCAATTGAACAAAATACAAAAAATATATCGTAATCTGAATAATCGTAGACTGGAAGTAATCTTGCTGATGCATATGATAGCCCGAATCATGAAGAGGAATACGAGGAAAAAAAGGCTGTTGATGAGATGAAACAAGATGTGGCACCTGAAGGCGAATCACAGGAATTTATTTCAGGAAAGCAAGGTGCTCGCTACGTGAAGCACTGTGCTTTCAGTATTCAACCGCAAAACTATCCAAATGCTATTAATTATGTGAGTAGTAAAGCGAGACTAAGATATTGCATTATGTTTCTTATTACATTCATTACAAGTTAATTTTGTTTCAGTCGCATTTTCCCTGTTCTATTCTACAACCCGGAGAAGTCTATTGTCATGATTTAATTTACAAATTTGGCATCCAATTGGCCAATTACATGTGATACATCTAAATTAGAAAAACATCGATAATCTATCGATTTATTAAGATTAAACTTTCTTAATTCTTTTCGCTGCGAAAAATTTTGCGATGTTACCAACTACAGAACCAAATGAATTATTAATCGTCACGGAGCGTTGAATCCATTGAGGCAGTACTTTGACTTTGTGACAATAACGTTTGTCTAACAGTACAACTGTCGAGTAATCATTGATATGACGAACAGATCGGCCAATACATTGATTCACTGCTTTCATGCAAGAATTTTCGTAAAAACTATTTCCGGCGTCTGATTTCTACAAAAACAGAAATTGGAAAATGAAAAAATGGAAGATATTAAAATTTATATAAAATCAAACTACAACTCTCTAAACTCCGCAATAAAGAAATCTGAATATACATACAACATTCTCGTTTAAGTATTTCATTTTTTCTTGTAATTCTGGTGATTTAATGTTAGGATATGGCAAGCCAACGACTATGACACATCGGCCCAAATCGTCAGAGAAATTTAAACCTTCACTTAATTTACCACCTATAAAATATCATGTAAATTAAAAAATGTGATTCAATATTTCTGAAAAAATAGTATAAATAAAAATACAAATAGGATTCTTATAATACTGATATAATTTTAATTTACTTACCCACTACGCTGAACAACAACGCTCCGTTACACGGGAATTGTGGATTCTTGATGGAATGTGCATATTGATCTAATATTGTATTGACCTGAAGATAAAATGTTGATTAATTTAAATTAATCAAATAATATTAGCTATTTATTAATAAACATATAAATAAATAAATTTAATATAATTAAATTAAATAAGTAATATTAATTATTTTTTAAAAAACTTGTAACAAAAATACCTGTGATGCTAATTTAGGTTCACGATAGATACATTTTTTTGTAGAAATTTTGGATATAAAGCCAGATTTATCTAAATGCTTAAATACTGTGTCTTCATAGTTGTAAGATGGAAAGAATACTACTATTCCAGCTGGTACAACATTACATAAATTTAATAATGCTCTACCTAATTCATCCAGCTAAAACAAAACATCAATCTTTGTTGACATCTTTTTTTTTTAAGTACATACATTTCTTTAAATAATACAATAATCAAAGAGATAAAAATAATTCTATTACCAATTTTGTATCTTGTCGATTATGATAATTAAATTCGAATTCGATTCCAGTCGGACCACGCGTTATAACGTTGGATATGATATTTTCTTTGGGAATTACATGGTCACACGAAAATGTCATAATTCTGTCTGATGTGGCACCCGCCATTAAGAATAGTTGATCTACGAATTCGGACATTGGTTCCATTGTGCCACCGGCTAGTACCACAGACCTGGCATCTTTCACTACATTTGTAACAAAAAATTCAAAATACTCAAAAAAAAAAAGATAAAAATGAAAAAATGTATATTAAATTTCAAACAAGTACTTGCTTACCGATGTCATGGAAATGTGCTGCTGGGTTCAACAATAGAAATTTTATAATCCCTTGTCCAATAGTAGTGCTAGGTAGAACACATATTCTGCCGTCCGCGCAGCTGTTCTTTAAACACTCCAAGAAACTTAAGATTGCCATCAAAGGATTGCTCGTCTGTTCTTCATTGTTGCTTGATATGTCCACAACGCTAATAGTTTCTTGAGAGGATACATCATTGTTTTTAATCGAGTTTAAAAATTCCGTTATGCCAGATTTCTTTGTCTTCTGTTCATTAATTTTAATATTATTGCCGTATTGTTCAACAAATCCTTGTAATTTATGAATTAGTTTTGAAGTTTTGATGAATTCTAATAATTTGAAGATGTTTACTGTATCAATCTCTATAAGCATTTCGAAATCTTCTATTTTGTATAATTTGGGTACTATTGTTTTATCGATCGCGTCATTGGGATGAGATTTCATTGTTGCTCCAAAGAGAGTTAGAAGCTTCTTCAAACAAAAACTCAATTGGCCTAGATACATCACGCTTTTAGCAGAGAACAAAGATTCAAATCTACAATCATATTACAGTCAGAAATTTATCTAATAATTGAATAACAATCGAAAGAAATAATGCAATACCTTTTCTGATATTGCGACAGCTGACTATAACAGTGAAGCAAATTTCTTCCAGTAATTACAGAACTGTGCATTCTTTCGATGGCGTCCAGCAAATTGTGAGCTTCATCTATTATTAATATATTCCCTTTTAAGTCTATCTCTAAACTGGCTCTGGTGTTCTTATGAAAAATAGAATTATATGGTACTAATATTAATTGTCCATTTTGCAGAGACTTTCTTGAGCCATAATATGGACAAGTGTTATTTTCCTGTCCTTTCTGTGTTATCTCCTCAATATCTTGAATATTTGTTAGAACCTCAGCCATTAAAAGTTTCTGATCACCTGGTATAAATGGGCAACTGCTTGTAGTTTTTGATCTTTTTAGATCTTTTTCTTTTTTAACAGTAGTCTTCTTTTTTTGCAGCTGAAGGCAGGTTTCATTTATCAGATTGATATGCTTCAATCTTTTGACATTTTTGTTGATGCAATAATTTTGCCTAGAATGAAATAAAATGTTAATAAATTTTAGAGAGCTAGACAATATATTAAAATATTAAAAATAAATAGTTACCTCGAAGAGAGCGGTACTACAGAAATCTCTTGAGAATAGGGAGATCTTTTTAATTCATGGACAAACTGTGTCAACTGTGAATGTGTCCTGGAGCAGAAGAAGATTTTGGTATTCTTAAATAAAGGTTCATCCGTGTTTTCTTCCTCAGAACTTTCTGAGTTTGACAATCCATCTTCCAAGATAAGATCTTTCTCGATGTCACAGACATCAAGATTCACTTCCTCTGTCTTATCTGACTCTGGAACCCTTTTGAACTGTTGCCTCATTTTTCTAGTTATTTTCGCTCTCTTTGATTCAACAATCATCTTTTTAAGCTTCTCCCTTTGACCTTCATACTCGAGAAGTGCGTTTAGCTTGGCTTGCAATGGTTGTTTCTCAGCATTAAGTTCTATTTGCTCTGTCTGCACAGTAAACCAATTATCAGATAGCTTCTCGCAACTCTTTAATTTATCGTCTATTTTAGCGATCGTCGAAATTAACTCTTCCTTTCTCCATCTCTCGTGATCAACTAGCCACTTAAGCGCACCACAAATAAGAGACAAGGACTTTCCAGTTCCTGTGGGGCTTTCGAAGAGACCCAGCTTACCATCTTTCAAGCAAGCATAAAGTTCTCTCATAAATCGTTTCTGGATTTCGTATGCTGGGAAGGGAAATGGAAATTCCTGTGGGAGTTCCATTCCTGAGTTTCTCTTAAAACTTTTTGGGATGTGAACCCAACTCTGCTCCTTCTATAAATAAAACTTTTATCACTCCTCCTGAAAAGAGAGAATGACATTTTTGTACACACATCTCATGCAAAAATGATCTTCAATGAATTGTAGAATTGCGTACTTACAGAATTGAGTATTATATACGATAATGCGCAACATAAAACATTGTATATATATATATATATATATATATATATATATAATGATAATAAACCGTCAACCTGTTACACACATTCCCTGTAAATTCTGTATTTTGTTTTCTGCATTCCTTCTGCTTCGTGTTGCTGAGTTTCCCGCCTTTCTTTTGAGAGTTTTGTGATGAATTTAGGAACGAAAAGTGAAGAGGGAAGGTCCTCTGCCGGAATAATCACGCACTACGAAATTTTCTAATGAGTTTTGGAACACAGTGTTGATAAGCAGTAGCCCTCTATCGGAATAATTTTGAATTACAGGTTTTTTGTTTTTTTTTCATCACTGCAGAAAGATGTCATTCCTATAATTGCTTGTTTTGTTATCTAACCTCAAAGGATCTTATTTAGACACGAAAAAGTATAACAGAGATATTTATTACAAGATAATTATTTCGTACTTCAGAATCTTATTGTTATAAGATTAATATATATCAATGAATATATATATATATACGTACAACAATCATTCAAGTTAAATATTTTGGACTTTTACTTTTTTTCTCTTTCGCAAATTCTAAATATTAACCTTTCTAAAAATAATTTGCAAACATTGTTTTTGTCTATATTTATAGTTGACCAAGGCCTCTTCAAGGTATCCGTGTATAATAAATTTGACAGACTCTAGTCGTGAACTCTACGTGGACACAAAAAAGCAGAAATGAAAGAGCTGTTGTCGAATCAAGCTGTGGGATACAGTAGTTCGTTTGTCAATAACAATAATAATCGAGATGCCGGAACCAGCAGTATTACAATCGATAATAATTCAAGGAGATATGCTATGCTCAGCACTGAATGGGTCTCTGCTATTGGCGAGGAACTGGGCATGCATCCCTTACCAGATCCTCTGTTAAAAAGATTAGCTGAAGATGCTTCCTATCGTTTAAGAGAAGTCTTACATGTAAATGCAATACAATTCCTATTTAATATAATTCCTATTTAATCCTTAACAATTTAAATTTTTCTCAATGAACAAAAATCGAGAATTTTATCCTTAAAGTATTATATCAAGTTCAGATAGACACAGAATTTTAAACGATTAATAATTTAACATTTACAATGTTGATCATTTCTATAAAATATTCATTTTTAGAAATGTGTTACAAGACTGAGACATAGTAAGAGGAAACGTTTAACATCTATGGATGTAAATGCAGTAATCACCAGCTTATGTGATGCCGATCCAGTTTTTGGTGCACCAGAATCCTTACCGGAGTATCATACAGAAGCAAAGGTGTACGTGCCTAGTGAATCTATTGTTAATCTCGTTAACCAAATGAATGATCCGTTGTGCCTGACGCAAACTAATGTGCCATTTTTGCAAGGCAAGTTCTTTTAAAATTTATGTTTATGATGAGTCTCTTAATTTATATTATATGATAAAATGTAATTTTAATTTGAAATTGCTGCTAATTTCTCAATATAATTTTTTAATTTAAGTTAAAATTCTTTTTTTTTTAGAATCTGAGATATGTGATTTGAAGCTCAC